AACAATGAGTCCCCGTGGAAACAAGAGACCCTTCCCTTGCTCTGGGGCGGGGGGGATGGGCAGCTGCAGAATTGAAACTTGAGTTAATGTGTGTGCGTCGCCCCGGCGCTGTACGGTTTGTGTTTTACAGCCCCAATCGCGGTACATTCTGAGGTACGTTTTACAAGGCCAACGGGACTCGCTACACAGGCTAACGCTGTGGCTGGCATCTTGGCTTTTGACATTCCTCACTTCTGCTCTTTCTAAAGCTCGTGGTTTTCCTTAGCGCCACTTGGCTCCTTCCTTTCACCTCTTGCCAGCTCAACCCAAAGCCTCCTGCCCTACGGTTCTGCCCTCTCCTCTCAGCATAACACAACCTTGCCTTTGCAGGGGAAGCTACCAGCTGCTTGCTTTCGCCCTCTGGTGTTCCTATTGTGGTTCGCTGTTTTCTTAGTAACTCTTGCCCAGCTTTTTGTCATTAAAGGAGGCTTCTTTTGCTCTTTACTCAGCAGTTATACCATGCAGAAAATACACAGCCCCGTGTTTACTAATGGTACACAATATATATGCCAGGCCTAACTACAGCTTCTAGAACACAGTGAGCACCATTAGAGGGCTCACAACCTATTTAAAGGAATACTACCCTTTTTTCATACTCACGCCAAAGGTGCTATATAAAGAATGTGTCACATAAGGTCTCTTGAGCGCTGCGATTTACCCCCAGTCTCCTTGGGAGTCTTAGCAGACACGCCTCACTGGGTTTCTCCAAGAGGCTTGGAACGGATGCCAAACCACATGAGAGATAGAGGTTTTATCTTCCCTCCTGTTATCTTGCATGAGACATGTCTAAATAATGAAGATTTGGGCTAGCCAGAGGGGGAAATACCCTTCTAGTAAGCGGCTCACATGAAAGTAATAACTGGAGATAGACCAACATCAGAGTAGCAAGGCTGTGGGGCAAACGTTTTCACCTAGCCGCTTTCTCCTGCCACGTTTTGGTGTCTGCGCCTTCCTGAGCAGCTGGGATAGGGGGTCTGCTGCTCCATCATGCCATTTGCACACCCCTTGTGAAGGGGGCAATGCATGGCTGCCCTGGCTCTGTGGGACACTACTCATTAGGCTGGCAGAGGAGGGGAGCTCACAACCCCGCTTTCTCTTTACCTCTTTCCAGGTGCTTAGCGCAGCAGTCTCTGCCCAAAGGGAGTTCTCCCTGTGATCCGTCTGTGCACAGATTGGGCACGTAGAGGAGAATTCCTGACTGCCCCCGGCTCCGAGCTGCGGAGGGACTGCACAGAGCAATCGGAGCCATTTCTCTCTTGAATCTAAAACGGGGCTTCTCAAACTTCACTGCACTGCGACCCCCTTCTGACAACAAAAATTACGACACGACCTCAGGAGGGGGGACCGAAGCCTGAACCTGCCTGAGTCCCACCACCCCAGGTGGTGGAGGTGGGGAGGAGGAGCAGGGCAAAGCCAAAGCCTGAGCCTCACCACCCTGGGTGGGGAAGGGCTCAAAACCAAAGCCCAAGGGCTTCAGCCCCCGCCAGGGGGCCTGTAACCTGAGCCCTGCCGCCCAGGGCTGAATCCCTTGGGCTTTGGCTTGGGCCCCAAGCCCCAGCAAGTCTAAGCCATCCCTGATGACCCCAGTAAAATGGGGTCGCGACCCACTACGGGGCCCCAACCCACAGTTTGAGAACTGCTGATTTAAAAGATCTGATTGTATTTTACAAAGTACAATCCCTCTCCCCACCTATCCTGGCCAATCCAGCTGTCTAGACGTGGTGGGGAATCTCCAGCTCTGGGAGCTGGGTAACTAGCTCCCATCAGTGCCTTTGAAAACCTCACACAAAATGTCTTTACCCCTGCTGAGCTTTAGAAGTAATAGCCATAACAACAGGGCACATGGCTCCATATCCGCAATGGAATAAAACACACCTCTTGGAAACACCAGAGCAGATTTTGCTCTGAGCAACACCCTGGCCATCTCATTGACTTCACTAGTGTTACACCCATAAAATAACTGGGAGCAGAATTTGGCCCATGAAATACTGAAGAATAGGTTAAATACCACATGTGAGATTAGCAAAATATCCCCAGCCTGTACTGGAGGCAAGAGGAAGAAGTTTAAAGGAGGCATCCAAAGGGGAGGCAGTGTGGTCTAGTGGCCAGACCACAGAACGCTCCTACAGCACCCCACAGCGCAAGGGGCGGGCTCCCACTGCTACACCCCTTTTGTGGAGTGCAGCGCCAGCGCCAATCAACCAGCCCTGCCCTTTGGGGGACAGAGTGTGCCCCCCAGTGGTGCACTCAAGAACTGCGATTGCAACAGGGAAGGGGCGTGCATGGGCGGAAGCTCTGGGCACACTCCTTATCCTCACTCCTGCGCACCCCAGGTAGGCGCCTGGAAGAAAGGAGGAGACGCAACAAGGGGGCTCCTTGGATCAGTTGACAAAGCAACAAATCTCCAGCTGCAGAGGTGGTGCCTGACTGGTAATTCCCTGGGGGGGCAGGAGATGAGGGAGACAAAGAGAGGGATCCCCCAGCTGTGGGGAAGGACAGTTTGGGGAGCTTGCTCAGCCTAGTCCCATGCTGCACCTGTTTTTGGGGCTCTGCACAAGGGAGGGGGCAGAAAGCCAGCTGGGCTGGGTTACTCCAGGTTGGCCTGAGCAGGAAGCTGGTGTAATGTATGCCGCTGTCACATGGTTCCTAGGGGATCTGTGCCAGCAGGGAGCACCCCTGTCCCATCTCCACCGGCTACTTTACAGCTAGACTCTGTCCCCATGGCGCTGCCTGAAGGGAGATGGGAATCTGGAACAACGCACCTGCCAGTCCAAGAAAAGGTGTCACCTGGGGCTTGAAACGAATCCGGACAATGAAATAGCTGGAGCTGGCTGACCAGTGGGCAGCTCTTGGCCCTTTATGCGAGATGCCTTGATGCCTCCACCATGTAATCATCACAGCAAACTACCCTGGCTTTGCATGCCACACACACAAACCCCAGACAGTGGGAAATGAGCTGTACGCACAGAGATTTCTCTTCTCCCAGCTGGTCTCCGTTTCTTTCCCCCTCTGTTTTACACTGGATGTTATGTTTTGGGGCGAGGGAGGGTTGGGGAGGCTGTAATCCATGAAGGTTCCATCTGGTCTACACTGACATCATCCAAGCAAACAGTTGAACACAAAGAACTGCCACAAGCAGGCCCTAGGCCGGGCTGGTGATCAGACGCCATGGTGAGGGACACACATGGAACACTCAGACAGCAGAGACGTCACGTTGACGGCGGCCTCCCCTCACCCCATGTGCGACTCGGCTTCTTTTCACTGATCTGTAATGTGCCTGTCTTAAAATCTAACCAAGCCTCTCTTTTTCTCGGTACGCGCCCACCGCCATGGTAACCGAGTGCCTCGTGGTTCCATTATAAGTACACATAGACACTTCCAGTGGCAATCCGGAGGAGACCCCCTCCTCCTCCCAAGCCACCAGTACCAAAGTCTAACACCCTCCTCCCTGTTCTGGGTGCCTCGGGCTCTGTCGGTCCAAATGCAAGGGAGAGTACGTTTCCTGAGACTGCCCTGCCCCCAGCCCTCTGGGGAGCACACCTAGGGATCACGGCCCAGCTCCTCAAAGGTATTTAGGCCCCAATGGGAGTTAGGCACCTAAATACCTTTGATGATCTGGGCCCAGCAGTTTGCCTGCAGTATCTGAGCAGCTTCTCGCTGAGCACAGAACAGGCCGTGTCTCTCTGAGCGACACTTTTATGACAGGACACATCGTCTCTCTGTTTATTCCCATCCCCTTCTTCTTTCGTTGGGTTCTGCCCAAGGCCAGCACGGAGGGAGAAGTTTCTGTGCAACTGAGGGCAAGAAGCCGCCTGCTCAGACATTTTGGAGCCTGGATTTATTTGCTTGTTTGTTTGTTTTTCACATGAGGCCAGTGCACGGCCCATTAAACCCGGGCCGTTCACAGGGCAGCCGCATACACTCCTCCTGGGCGAGGCTTTTCGCTCTCTCCTGCAGTTCAGAAACACCCCAGGGCTGGTAGCTAGGAGCAGTCCTGTTTTCTGATGGAGTTCCTGTCCTACAGCAGATCCACGCCTGACTTACAAGAATCTTGGAGTCTAGGCTAATGCTAGCCTGCCCGCAGGACAGACTGTACCGGAGAATTTGTCTGTTTCGTCATCATTATTATTAATAAGAATCATGGTTAGTACAATAGTGGTTAGGGACCAACCAAGAACAGGGCTCCGTTGTGCTAGATATTGTACAGACAGCCCAAAAGTCAGTCCTTGAAGTGGTTTGGGTGGCATAAAATGCTTGTAAAATACCTTGGCCAAGATTTTTCAGACCCGGCCACTGATTTTTTAACCAGCCTTCATTTTTGGGTGTCCAGCTTGAGAGCCCTTAGAAGGCCCCGATTTCCAGATGGTGGGAGAGTGAGCAGAGATGGCACATGAGGTGTTGGCAGCTGGGTGGCTGAGGCTGACGACTGGTGAAAAGTTAGGTGCATACTCGGGGGGCAGTGATGGGATAAGAGACCAGGGCAGAGCAGCAGATCATGATAAAGGTCATCATGCTGTACCCCTGTGGGGGTGTAGCCAGTGTGTTTAGGGGCCTGGTCTGGCTCCCCAACCTGGTTAGCAGCTGTATGCATGCCAGGCCCTGAAGTTTGTGGGAGAATAGTGGAGCTGGAGAGCAGCTAACAGGCTATGAGACCGGGTGGAATTGCTCAGTCTCAAAGCACTTTCCTCCAGGGGCTGCCGTTACAAGAAGGAAGCAAAATAACATAACACGAAGCAGCAAACAGGCTGCAAAACACGCCAGCTCCTTCCAGTAACCCCATGTTTAATTGGAACGCCCATCCAAGGCACACTCCCCATCCCCCATGCACCTGAGCTGCGCTTAGCCCCTGGGCCTGGCCTGGATACACACAGCACCCATGTTGGCTCCGCTGCTAGCAAGCTGGCAGGGATCCAGAGAAGAGAAAACGGGCATTATTCCCTGCCGAAGAAAAAACGGGCCACTCACAGAGTTTCCAGGCTGTGCAGCCCTTCAAAGCTGTTGATCCCCAGGCTCTGGATCCGGTTGTTGTGCAGGTGCCTGCAGAGAAAACGGAGATGTTTAAATGGGGCCGAACTCAACTGGCCTTTCTCCAGCAGCCCCTGAGCGGTGAAGGCGCAGGGGCACTGGGAGAGCTGAGTGCTGTTTCGCGCACGAAGGGCACGGGGGCAGGAAATGCACCTTGCAGAGTCGCTAAACCACTAGGCTCTCAGGATGGCCACAGGGTGCAGCAAACAAGAGCGAGGTAGATCGGAGTGTGATGTTGTACAGTCTATATGGTTTTATAAAAATATGGTAATGAGTGAATATAATGTAACTGGAATATGCTTCATGCAAAGGGTCTCTTGTAAGGTATCATTACAAAGCTTATAATCTACTGAGTGTGATCATCCTATTTGTATATATGTACCACTCTTGTATCAGGGACTAGAAATATGGAATATAACTCTGAGGGCCTATTGTAATTATGCAAAGTGTGGGCCATTAATGGTAGTTTGCAATCTTAATGGCTCCCATCAACCAGGACAATTGACTGGGGCTCTGTTTGCAGGCAAGCCTTCCTGTGAGTCAGGCTGGGAGGAATGAAGGCTTGGGGTCTTACAGTGACATGTGATCATGTCACATGAACTGGAATCCATCTTTAACCTGGTGCTTTTTCGGGGAGGGGGGTGGTGGAAACCCAGAGAGAGACAAAGGATTCCCGCCTTATGCAAAAGATATATAAAGGGATGGAACAGAACAAAGAGGGAGACCCATCATGAAGAATCCCCTAGCTACCACCTGAGCTGGAACAAGAGCTGTACCGGGGGAAAGAATTGTGCCCAGGCTGGGAAGGTGTCCAGTCTGAGGAAAAAACTTACTGAAGCATCTCTGAGGGTGAGATTATTTGTATTCAGTTTGATTAGACATAGATTTGCGCATTTTATTTTATTTTGCTTGGTGACTTACTTTGTTCTGTCTGTTACTACTTGGAACCACTTAAATCCTACTTTCTGTATTTAATAAAATCACTTTTTACTTATTAATTAACTCAGAGTATGTATTAATACCTGGGGGAGCAAACAACGGTGCATATCTCTCTCTATCAGTGTTATAGAGGGCAAACAATTTATGAGTTTACCCTGTATAAGCTTTATACAGGGTAAAACGGATTTATTTGGGTTTAGACCCCATTGGGAGTTGGGCATCTGAGTGCTAAAGACAAGCACACTTCTGTGAGCTGTTTTCAGGTAAACCTGCAGCTTTGGGGCAAGTAATTCAGACCCTGGGTCTTTGTTGGAGCAGACGGGAGTGTCTGGCTCAGCAAGACAGGGTGCTGGAGTCCTGAGCTGGCAGGGAAAACAGGAGCAGGGGTAGTTTTGGCACATCAGGTGGCAGCTCCCAGGGAGATTCTGTGATCCAACCCGTCACAAGGGGTTCTCTTTCTCTTTCTGAGCCCCCTCTCCCCCAACATGCTATAAAAGCTCCATGGCCCACCTGTGCCACAACAACTGTTTTCTGCATATAAAAGCCAGGACCAGTGTTAGGCGATAGCAAGCCAGGCAATTGCCTGGGCCCCACGCCACAGGGCCCCCCGCGAAGCTAAGTTGCTCAGGCTTCGGCTTCAGCCCCGGGTGGTGGGGCCCCTGGCTGCAGTCCCAAGCAGCTGGGCTTTGGCTTTCTGCCCTGGGCCCTAGCAAGTCTAATGCTGGCCTTGCTTGGCGGAACCCCTGAAACCTGCCTGCAGCCGTCCAGGGGGCCCCAGATCCCTGGTAAATAACCACTGAGGTGGATGATACAGCATAAAGCCGGTGCTCATTGGCCTATTTTCTTCTTAGTCAGTGGGTGTGCGCTCCGTTATCTCTAACATTATCTCTACCACAATAGGCCCAGTTCCAGCCCTCATTCAGGCATTTCCTTTTCCCTTTACAACGGAAAAGTCTTTAAACTCCGCATTACTGCCTGGTCCATTGTGGTAAATCCCAAAAGGTTGGGGGTAAAGAGCCTGCCAGCCCTTCCTTTGCTGAAATGAGAGCTGCCTACATTCGGAGTGATGCAAGTTCCCGGTGTGCCCAGGGTGGAGGGAAAAGGGGGCATGTGCTCTGGATGGAGGTTCTTGGAGCCCTTTCCCCTTCCGGAGAAAGGCACAGAAGTGAGTCTGAGCGAGCTGGAGGGGCCTAAGCCAGTGTCGCCGAGACACTTGGGACTAGAAGATAGCGTGTGTTACAGCAGCTCAGCACCCTCCCATGCACTATCTCTAATTTGGCCCTTTCTGGGACACCATCCTGTGAACTGCCTCTCCTGCCATATGCCTCTCGGCAATTGACACTCAGTTTGCACAACCACTCAGTGCCAAGCAGGGCCGACGAGAGTGGGGGGAAGCCGGTACAAATTACCGGGACCCGGCGGTCCGGAAGGGGGCCCGGCTTCCCCCCCTCTCATTGGCCCTGTTTAGCTGGTCTGCCCTTGCTGGGGTGCCCGAAAAAATTCCGGGCCCAGCTTCCCCGGCTTCCCCCCCGTCTCGTCGGCCCTGTTTAGCCGGTCCGCCCTTGCTGGGGGGCCCGAAAAAAATTTTCACCAGGGCCCGAACCCGCTCTCGGTGGCCCTGGTGCCAAGCTGCACAACTGCAACATGGACAAAAGAGCTTCCTGCCCAGCTCACACGTGCTGTGCAATTTGCACCACCGTGGGATCTAAGGCAGAGATTTCCCAAGCTCCTTATGGGTTTGGATGCCCAATTCCCATTCATTTTACTAGGAAGCCCTGGGCTTTGAAAAGCTCAAACCAACACGGCTAACTCATGTTGGGCCCTATCCAGTCGAGCATCTTCAACAACCATTCATAGCATTAGGCCCCATGGGTGGATCCAAGTAGACCAAGTAGACTGCTTTTGCGAACAGGGGCTGCTAACAGGGAGTTTCGCAAGGGAGTTCTCCAGGTGAAGGAGGAGCAATACAGCACCCTTTTGGGGTAAGTGACTGTCTGCAGTGTGTGTTTGTTTGTGTTTGGGGGTTACTTGCTGTGTGCTGAGCTTGTGTTTGTCAGTCTGTTTGTTTGTTTGGTTGTTTGAAGGACCGTGTGCTGTGGCTGACAGTTGGAAGCTGTGAGCTTCAAAGGAAGGTTTGAAACCTAGAAGCCTCTGGTAATTGGCTGAGCCTTAATCAGTGGGCGGGGCATTCATACAGGCCAGGGCTTTATAAAGCAGCGCACAAGCGACCAGGGAGCTTTTGCGAACAGGGGCTGCTAACAGGGAGTTTCGCAAGGGAGTTTGGAAGGGGAGTGGGAAGGGGCGAGGGTCCCTTGCCGGTTCTATCTGTTTTCCCTTTATTCCCCTTAAAACTTTAAACTTCTTGCTTAAACAACCCTTTCAGCGGACAGGGGGCTGCAGACGGGAGTTTGACAGAGGGAGGCTTACGATGGTTAGGAAGACCCGCAACACCTGTGCCAGCACTGCTTCTGTCTCCTCCACCTGCGCCTGTAGCCAGACAGAGCGCCTGAGCATGGATGCTTCTACCCAGATCCTGGTGTGGTTTTGCAGAGACTGTAACTTGCAATTTCCACTTACTGATATCCAGGCTGGGGGGACCATCCAATGTGAAAGGTGCCTGCTGGTGGAATCTCTCAGGCAGCAGGTGGGAGAGCTACAGGAGGAGGTGGCTAGGTTGAGAAGCATCCGAATCCACGAGCAATTCCTGGACAGTGTCCATGTGGAGACAGCTGAGGTAGCTGTCCCAGGACACAGGACTGCTGATACACCACTGGTGGAGGAGGAGATGGCTCAGGGTGGACACTGGCAGCTGGTTACTTCTGGCAGCAGGCAGTGCTCCACCCCTGCTCCGAACCCTCCCGCTGTGGTAATAGGTAACCGTTATGCTCTTCTTGATACAGGAAAGAAGGCATCACCCCCTACAGTAAAGGAGGAGAAGCCTCGTACCCCTAAGGCTGGGAGGTCTGCTGCCACCACTGCGAATAGGAAACGCAGGGTAGTGGTGGTCGGAGACTCTCTGCTCAGGGGGACGGAGGCGCCCATCTGTTGCCCTGACATTTCATCTCGGGAGGTATGCTGCCTGCCGGGAGCCCGTATCCGAGACGTTACGGAGGCATTGTCGAGGATTATCCAGCCCTCTGACTACTACCCCATGCTACTCATCCATGTGGGCACAAATGATAATGCGCGGTGTGACACTGAGCGGATCAAGAGTGACTACAGGGCTCTGGGAGTACGGGTGAAGGAGTTTGGAGCGCAGGTGGTATTCTCTTCGATTCTTCCTGTCAAAGGTAGGGGCCCGGGCAGAGACAGATGCATCATGGAGGTGAATGCCTGGCTGCGAAGATGGTGTCGCCAGGAGGGCTTTGGCTTCCTAGACCACGGGATGCTATTTGAGGAAGGACTGCTAGGCAGAGATGGTGTTCACCTTTCGAGGAGGGGAAAGACCCTATTTGGGCACAGACTGGCTAACCTAGTGAGGAGGGCTTTAAACTAGGTTCGACGGGGACAGGTGAGCAAAGCCCGCAGGTAAGTGGGGAACATGGAGACCTGGGAGATGGGTCGGAGACGAGAGGGAGTGTGGGCTATATTGGCAGAGAGAAAGGAGGGTCAGGACAAAACCGGGAGGAAAGATCAAACCAGTATCTTAGATGCCTATATACAAATGCGAGAAGTATGGGTAATAAGCAGGAAGAACTGGAAGTGCTAATAAATAAATACAACTATGACATTGTTGGCATCACTGAAACTTGGTGGGATAATACACATGATTGGAATGTTGGTGTGGATGGATACAGCTTGCTCAGGAAGGATAGACAGGGGAAAAAGGGAGGAGGTGTTGCCTTATATATTAAAAATGTACACACTTGGACTGAGGTAGAGATGGACATAGGAGACGGAAGTGTTGAGAGTCTCTGGGTTAGGCTAAAAGGGGTAAAAAACAAGGGTGATGTCATGCTAGGAGTCTACTACAGGCCACCTAACCAGGTGGAAGAGGTGGATGAGGCTTTTTTTAAACAACTAACAAAATCATCCAAAGCCCAAGATTTGGTGGTGATGGGGGACTTCAACTA